GCTTTCTACTCCCGTAAGGATTTACACCCTCGGAAACCCTGTTCAGGGTCGCTATGGGTCGGAACCGACTCGATGGCACTTAACAACAACAACAAAGAGCAACAGCTGTCTGGATTGCGTTCGGGGTGACCATGTCATGTAATCTTTTATTGTTGATTCTCAATCCAAAGAGAGTACTCGGAGCATTTTTTGTAAAGTCGGTCTGTCATTAGAAAATTCCTTTTTTTTTTAGTCAGAATACGTCCTAATTCCCTATTGTATTTGAGACGCAGCTTTCCTGATGGGCAATTATTTGTTCACTTGCAGAGTTTTATATATGCCATCCATTACCTTCTTGCCCGCATGAAAACAAGAGCTTAGTGAGACGTCAGAGCTTAGTCTTATTGGTTCTCCTTTATAAGTAACTTCATTTTCCCTATGCTGTTTTCGGGAGTCCTGGTGTGGCGCTATGAGTTAATGCGCTGGACTGCAAAGTCAGTGTGAACTATAAAGTTGATGGTTCAAGCTCACCAGCTGCTGCTCAGAAACCCTATACAGGGTCGCTATGGGTTGGGACCAGCATGACGGCACTTAACAACAACAACAACAACAAGATGTTTTTTCAGGATTCTTTCCTTGTCTTTGATTTTGGGAAGTTTGAGTCTGGTATGCCTTGGTGTGATGTCTTTTGGGGGTCCATCCTGTTCGGTGTTCATTCAGCTTGTATGCTTGTCCTCGCCTCTTTCATGATGTTAGGGAAGTTCTCTTCCAACCTCTTAGATAATTTTCTCTGTACTTTTTATTGTGTCTCCCTGTTGTGATATTCCTATCACACATAAATTGTTCCTCTTTATGGTATCCCACATAACTCTTACAGACTTTCTTCAGATTTTTCTTTTTTTAGCATACTAGTATTGGGAGGTGTATCTTCAAGCTGAATAATTCGGACTCACATTTCTTTGAATCTACTCCTTTGCCCTTTAAATGTATTACCCATTTCTGAACTGTTACTATTACTCTGAATTTCTAACGACAGGTTTTGTATGATTTGAAAGTGTGCATTTCTTTATTTTGTTCTTGTAGTTTTTTCTTGAATTCTTCTAAAGTTTTCTCTCTGTTCTTTCCTGGATCTTTCTGTGAATCTTTTGAAGGTACCCAAATATCCTTCTTTTGAATTACGTTTCAGTTAGTTCATTACCTTTTCCCCTCAGAAACGCTTTTGACTGTATGCCTTGGTCATTTGTTGGAGCCATTCTCTCTTGTTGTTTTCTGTGTGAGCTAAAGTTTTCTGTTGTCGCTGTTTCATATTTCTCTTTAATTGATGATTGGTGTGGACGTTTTAGGCTCCCTCCAACTGTCTGGGTGGGCGTGGCTGCTGGTACTTGCTGCCTGTCATTGGTCAGTAGCATAGGAAGGAGCAGGACCGGCTCTTGCACACTGGGGCCACTTCAGAGGATTTTGTTGGGGCTTTGCTGTATGGGCACACTTGCTGTCTCCTGCCTTGTGGGAAAAAGGAAACCCCCTCCCACACAACACACACACACAAAAATGTGTGTTTACAAAATAAACAAGGAACCAACACTGAAAAAAGAAAGAAAGAAAACCAGGCAGCAACCAGGAAAAAAGAATATAACATCTATAAAGACAAAAGCGGGACAGGGAAATGGAACTCTTCTAAAGAAGAAAAAAGGAAGAAATACGCTTAAGAATAAAGAGTTACAGAAAAATGGAGCTGTAGAGGAGAAAAATGAGAGGAGTAATAATAAAACACAGGAAAAACTGGGAGAAAGAGTTGCTACGTGCCGGCGAGTTGGTTCCGGCCCATAGTGATTCTATATAGGGTTTCCAGGGAGCAGCTGGTGAGCCCAACCTGCCGACCTTGTGGTTCAAAGTGACTTTGGGGTCCAGTGCGTTAGCCGGCAGTGCCACCCCAGGACTCTGGGGGTTGCTAAAGAGCAGCAGTGAAAAGAAGCAGAGGGGAAATGAAAACCAAAAGTAAAGAAAGAGCCATAGGATGACATTGAAGGGAATGGAAAGAGGAGGAGGAGGAGAAAAGAACCAAAAAGTGAAAATACGAAACCCAACAACAACAACAACAACAACAACCAAATTAGTGCAGCTGTTGGACCAGAGGAGAAAACTCCTGCCAGACAAGGAACTCCTCAACAGGTGGGTGTGGGAGGGATGAGACAGCCGAGATCCTGCCCTAGACGGAGTGTTTTCTGCCTTGGCATACCTTTTTTCAGGACACTCAAACCGGAAGTAGTTGGGGAGGCCCTTGATGGAGCTGGCTTCCGAGTCTGTTAGGACCACAGGGCGGCTGGAGGCAGGTGACTGGTTACATGCTGATCTGGTGGTGGCCCTACTGGTTTTGGAGGTCTGGAGCTGGGCCTGCCTGAATCCAGGCACCAGAGTGGCACAGCCCACCCCTGCCTCACTGGCGTGGCTTCCAACCACATTACTCCAAACTCCAGAAGAGCTGGGTCCACGCTGGGGATGGATGAGGGTGGTATCTGGTCACACCTCAGGTCGCCAGGGGAGAATGGGGGGGGAAGGGAGAGAAATAGCACCTTTCCCATTGCCTGGGTGAATACGCTGAGCCAGGCTGCACCTTCTCTTGCTCCAGCTGCTCACAAGATGACCACGCCTCGTCTGACCAGCTGGTCATCAGTTCCTTCTCTTTCAGCTTCTCCCAGCAAGTACGGAATCTTTTTCTGTAAACATTTTTTTCTGAAGTTCAGGGTTCCAGAATTTTCATCTGTGTGTATTTCATGTGTTCTCTTATATCCTTGAGGTGTGGAG